TTTGCAAAAAATTAAAACTTAGAATGTTAGGGAGAGAAAAGAAGGTAAAAATAAGAAAGGAAGTTAAGGGAAAGAAAATGGAGAAAAGGAAGAGAAGAGAAGAGGGTATAGAAGCTGGGGGGAAAAAAGGCTGAGGGCAGAAAACTAATGAGTGAAAGAACTACTTCAGGAAGGCCCGGGCTTCAGAGTGGCTAAATCTGCTATCTCCACCTGATATTTACCCTGAAAGCTCAGTTATGATTCTCTTAGCTAGACAGAACACTGCAGAAGATTGAGCCAAGATATAAAAACATACTTTTAAAATAGAGATTAAAGTATGACAGGAAAAATTATAAGACATAGAAGTCAGACTTTGAAATCTCAGTATTAATTTCAAACTCTAATAGGAGTTTTAGAAAGAGAGTGTGTAGACATTGGATATAAAGAAATAACTAAAGAAATTTTCCCAAGACTAAGACAAATGCAGGACTCCAGATAGAAAGGGCTCCTCAGTAGGCTATCTGGGCTGAGTCCTGGCCCTACCCTACTGCAGCTGTGTAGCCTTGGACAAATTACTTAAATCTCTTCAACACTTAGTTTCCTTATGTGTGAAAAGGGGTATAGCAGTTCTCTCTTATCTGTGGTTTTACTTTCTGTGGTTTTAATTACTATTGGTCAAATATGGTCTGAAAATATTAAATGGAAAATTTCAGAAATAAATAATCCATAATTTTAAAATTGCATACTGTTCTAAGTAGTGTTGTGATGTAATCTATTATAGCATATTGTTATAGCTGTTCCATTTTATTATGAGTTATTGTTATTAATCTCTTACCATAGGTAATTTATAAATTAAACATTATCATCCATCTACATATATTGGAAAAATATAGCATTTTTGGAATTTGCTGCTAGCTAGAGTTTCAGGCATGTGCTAGACATCTTGGAATTCATCCCCTGAGCATAAAGTGGGTCCACTGTGTATAAAGGCACTATCTATTCCTTCCATTGGTGTGAGGAAGCTCACTTGTACAAATAGATGTTGCTTCACTTCTATTACTATATGACTGGATGAGGCATTGACTACAAGAAGCTACACTTTTTTTGTTTGCTTTTGTTACTGGGGATTGAGCCCAGGGCCTTTGCACTGAGCTACTTCCCTCCCTCCCATTTTTTTTGAGACATGATCTTGCTAAGTCTCTAAGTTGCCCAGACTGGGACAGAACTGGTGATCCTCTTTCCTCAGCCTGCTGGAGAGCTGGGATTAGAGATGTATTGCTACAACTCCTGGCTTCAGCTAAACTATTACTGAAGGCAACAGATGGATCAAAGAGAGCGTAGTAAACTGGGCACAGTGGTGCATTCCTCTAATCCCAGCTCTCTGGGATGTTAAGGTAGGAGGATTGCTAGTTCAAGGCCAGCCTTGATAACTAACTTAGATGTCTCAAATAAAAAAAATGTTTAAAGCCTGGGGATATTTATTCAGTGTGAAAGCCTTGGGTTAAATCTGAAATACTGCCAAAAGAAGGAAAAGGTTTTTAAAGACAGTGATTAGGAGATCAAGGACAAAGTCATTTTACTACATTTTAGAGTTGGGTTTGCTTTAATATTATTGTAAAAATAATCATTTTGGCATTTTATAATACTTGCTTAAATGTTACTCCTTAAATGAGTTCTAGTTTAACTACTAAAATTCATGATTCTAAATCTGAGAGCTATTAGAAAAAGTGTTTAAATGCTTGTTTGAATTTCCCATAAAGGTGATATCATTATTAGGATTATAATTATTATTGATCATGGATCAATCTGAGTCCTTCAGATTGCTTTTACTATATACTTACTTTCCCATTATTATTAATTAAAAGCATATGAAAGAACAAATCCAAGTATCTGTTCAACATGAGACAGTTATTCTAATGAGGAGATAAGATTTCATTCAAAAGTCAAAAAAATTGATGTTTTCATGTATTTTTATGAAGCTACTACAGAAAACTAACACCATTATTTTCATGAGCTGTTAACCAATACAGACCGTGTGTGCAAAGGCTTTTATTGCCACTTTATAATAAGAAGCACACCTACAATACAGGGTCAGTCATCTACAGAGTCAAACTTGTATCCCCTAGCGTGCTGAAACTACAAAAAAATCTGTCAGTAATGTTTACATATGTGTGTATGTATGTATATGATGTCTGTATGTCTCTACATACATATACATATTCAGATTTGACTCAGGAAGATTGTTAAGACTCGTTTGGAAACATACCTTGTTTACAAAATTCTTCTCTCCTGTAGCCAGTATTATGAGTTTACCATGAGCTCAGAATAGAGGTATAGAATTGGGAACATATTAAACAAAATATGTAGGGTACATTTTTGCACTGTAAATAACAAAAGCAAATTAAAGAGCTGCAGCTCTACCACCTTTGGGTAAGTTACCTAACCTCAGTTTTTCCAATTAAAACAGGAATAATTACTTAATAATGACAGGAATGGTACTTAACTTGTGGGATATTGTGAGGATAAGGAAGTTAAAATATGCAAATGGCTAAGAACAGTGCTTGCCACAAAAAGCCATTGTTGGTATCCTTACTACTGTTTTAGTGGGTGTCCTTGATATGTTCTGACCACCAAATCTTAAAGCCATGTCTCTTTATAAATGATGATTTTTAAAGTGCTACAATTTGAGAAACTCATCATTGTATGTTTCCAACTAAGCCAGCATCATAAGAACAGAGATAACAACAGACACAGTATGTAAGGATTGAATAACTTATGAAGGATTTTAGCAACTTAGATATCACCGAGACAACAAATTTACATGGAGTGTACTTGGGGTTAAAAATGTCTGATAAACAGAAAGAATTCAGCATCTACAGTTTTGTCTTAAAATACACCTGCTACTAGCAAATTCACTTTCTGGGGCTTGAAAACAGCACACTAGTAATGTCTTTTGCAGACCTCCTCACTTGGCAGAACATACTCTGTCCATCTGAATTGTAATGCTTTTGAAGAATCAGAGGGCCAAAGAAATAACTTTGGTCAGGAAGAATACAAAGCTTTTACAACAGCAAATTACAAGGAAAGAGCAAAAGTATGCGCTAACTCGCTAAATTCATCCTTCTCCTTGGATTTGAGTGTTCTTTGAATGAACAACACAACTCAGGATGAGATAAGCTGAAGCTGATAGATTAGCAGCTCTTTGGGCCCTGGACATTCCTGGGACCATTACTCTTTCTAAAGCCTCCATTTCTTCTGCCCTCTTGGGTTATTTCTTCAGCCAAAGTTCCTTTTAAGAATCTGATCCACTTCCCTTTTAGAGTTGCCACTTCCCCCAGCTGCTTCTCTCATTACCTTACTGTTGGGGCGGAAAAGGCCAACCTCAGGTTATTCTAATAATAGCAAACACCTCATAAAGAAATCTGCCAGATTTACTTTTCCACAGAACATCATTTTTACAGTGTTTCATGAGTCCATGAGAAAAGAAAGCATCATGTATAAAATAAGACTTCCAGAAATCTTGAAGATATTAAGAATTATTCCCACAGCATTAGGCTGGTGGGTGCACCACCTTCTACAGGACCAGAAGTCCACCAGGCTGTCACTGTACCTATTTACCCACAGAATAAGAGCCCCTCAGGAAGTCAAGAATGCTTTTTAAAATGTCTCAAACTTAAAAAAACTTTAAGCTTTGAGGTATACACTTTTCCATGCCTGGTTTCCTATTTGTATGTAAGGATCCCCTTGATTTAATTTATAATGCCCAGGCAGACACAAAACTTGGTGTAAATAATCAACAGTTGGGAATGTGTGAACTCTGGCAAGTTTCTTAATCTTTCTATCTCTCACCTGGAGAAACTGTAAAGTGAGGATATTAACAATACTGTACTTCACAGGGTTATGATAAAATTAAATCAGTCAAAATTGTGGAAAGCACTTAAATCAGTACCATACAATTGATAAGTGTTATAGGACTGTTTCAGTGAATTCTTCTTTCCTCAACAGTGTAGTTTCTTTTTCTGCAACAAGTTGCATAGAGATGTAAAAAATAAAATAAAATTAGAGAAAGACTATGGAGCCCTTTGGGGACAATGAGTAATGTTTATCCAGACACGGCAGAACGCAGAGTTTCAGAGGGCTCTGGTTTGAAGAAGAGAGTTTGGGAGCCTGAGAATCCATGCTGCCTCCTTGGAAAATCGCTGCTCACCTCTACTGGTTCCCCAAGGTATATCCCTGGACCCAGGAGAAGCACTTTCCAAGATAGTGGCAGGAAAGGCCTACCTGCACAACCTTTACTCAGGCGCCCAAGTTCACCTTGCACCTGTCTGACCACCAGCTAGGCCCGCCCAAGTCGCCAATCCTCTCCTGCCTTGACACTGAAACAGATCAACAGCATCCTGTGCCAAGCTACCTTCAAGGGGACAAGACACACTTAAGTCTCAGCTGCAGGTTTAAAAGCCTTAGGTAACCCCGGCCCAGATCACGACAGGTGCCTTGACTTTGTCCTCCCCATGGCCAATAGTGTACCAGGGGTGTCCAGGGAGGCCTTGGAGGGGCCCAGGAAGCACAGGAGCCGCTTGAACGAGGTGGTAGTCCCAGCTAGTCTCCTCTGGAAATTCTGTCCTAACCTTTTGAATTACTTTCTGACAGGGCAGATAGGAGGTCTCTCTCCCGGTGTTGGAATTTGAGTACATCATCTTATAAGGTCTCCTTGGGTCCTCCCACCTCAGTCCTCCTTATCTTATTCAGCTTCTAAAGGGCCAAAAACTTGCTGCACCGGAAAGCAAATACACACTCCACACTTCCTCCGCGTATCCCATGCCTGTGACACATCTGGAGTGTGAGCCTGGGAGACCTTGGAGCCGGGTCCAGGCTTCTGGCACCGACTCTCGCTTGGTCTCGGCCTAAACAGTGCTTCCCGGGCAGAACAGATGCCTGAACTTGCTCTGGGTGGGGCAGAGGACCCGCCTCCTCGTAAGCACCCGGCCCCCTGCACGCGCCCCACTCCCGCACGCACTCACCTGCAACTGGGCCAGGCTGGCGTTGCCGGTGGCCGCGTCTGGCCCGTCGGTGGCTCCGGAACCGCGCAGAACGGTGATGTGCAGTGTGAGCAGCAGTAACCCCAAGATCAGCAGCAGCTCGGCAGCCAGACGCACCATCCTCTTGAAGCGCACGGCTTTAGGACCCCGCTGGGCCGCGAGCGGCTGCGGCGCCGGGGGAGGAGGAGTCGGAGCCCGGGAGCCAGGCGGCACGACCCCCGCGTCGGCCCCCTCCGGGGCCCCGCTCCCTGAGCCCGCAGGGCTGGCGCAGGGCACTTCGGGGCGCACGGGCCCGGGGGAGCAGGAGCCGCCGGCCCCGCTGCACAGCGGAGCCACTGCGGGGCCGGGGGCGTCCAAGCCGGATGCAGAGCAAGCCCCGGCGCTGCCCGGCGGCGGCGGCGAGGGGGACTCCGGACGTCCCGGGACCCTGGCTCGTCCCGGGGCCACCCTGCCGGCAGAGGGCTGCGGGGGCGGCGGCGGGACGGGCGCAGCCGAGCCCCCGAGCGCACATGGGCTCCCCAGATGTGACCGCGGAGCCGCAGCTGGAGCGGGAACGGCCGCCAGAGGAGCGCTGAGAGGAGGAGGAGGAGGAGGAGGAGGAGG